AAGATCCAGCTCAACCCACCAGAACATGGGCACCATTCCCCTCGCCAGGAAGCCTACACAAGCCACTGAACCAACCTCACCCACTGGGGGCAGACACCAGAAATAAGAGGAATGATGAATGTGCAGCCTTGCAAAAAGGAGACCCCAGGGCTTCCCTGGTGGCGCAGTGGTTGAGAGTCTGCCTGCCGATGCAGGGGGCATGGGTTCATGCCCCGGTCTGGGAAGATCCCACATGCCACAGAGTGGCTGGGTCCATAAGCCATGGCCGCTGAGCCTGCACGTTAAGTTAAACAAAATGAGAAGACAGAGAAATATGCAACAGATGAAGGAGCAAGGTAAAAACCCAACAGATCAAACAAATGAAGAGGAAATAGGCAGTCTACCTGAAAAAGAATTCAGAGTAATGATAGTAAAGATGATCCAAAATCTTGGAAATAGAACAGAAAATACAAGAAACATTTAACAAGGACATAGAAGAAATAAAGAGCAAACAAACAATGATGAACAACACAATAAGTGAAATTAAAAACACTGTAGAAGGAATCAATAGCAGAAAAAATGAGGCAGACGAATGGATAAGTGAGCTGGAAGATAGAATAGTGGAAATAGTGGATAGAATAGTGGAAATAAATGCAGAAGAGAAGAATAAAGAAAAAAGAATGAAAAGAAATGAAGACAGCCTTAGAGGCCTATGACTCAACATTAAATGCACCAACATTCGAAGTATAAGGGTCCAAGAAGAAGAAGAGGAAAAGAAAGGGTCTGAGAAAATATAAGAAGAGATTACAGTCAAAAACTTCCCTAATATGGGAAAGAAAACAGTCAATCAAGTCCAGGAAGTGCAGAGAGTCCCATACAGGATAAACCCAAGGAGAAACATGCCAAGACACATATTAATCAAACTATCAAAAATTAAATACAAAGATAAAATATTAAAAGCAGCAAGGGAAAAGCAAAAAATAAACATACAAGAGAATCCCCATAAGCTTAATAGCTGATCTCTCAGCAGAAACTCTGCAAGACAGAAGGGAGTGGCAAGACATATTTAAAGTGATGAAAGGGAACCTACATCCTACAACCAAGATTACACTACCCAGCAAGGATCTCATTCAGATTCAACGGAGAAATTAAAACCTTTACAGACAAACAAGAGTGAAGAGAACTGAGCAACACCAAACCAGATTCACAACAAATGCTAAAGGAATTTCTCTAGGAGGGAAACACAAAATAAGGAAAAGACCTACAATAATGAACCCGAAACAATTAAGAAAATGGTACTAAGAACATACATATCAATAATTACCTTAAATGTAAATGTATTAAGTTATCCAACCAAAACACACAGACTGGCTGGATGGGTACACAAAAAAGACCTGTATATATGCTATCTACAAGAGACCCACTTCAGACCTAGGGACACACACAGACTGAAAGTGAGGGGATGGAAAAAGTTATTCCATACAAATTCAAGTCAAAAGAAAGCTGGAGTAGCAATTCTCAGGCAAAATAGACTTTAATATAAAGACTATTACAAGAGACAAAGAAGGATACTACAAACTGATCAAGGGATCAATCCAAGAAGAAGATAGAACAATTGTAAATATTTATGCAACCAACATAGGAGCACCTCAATACTTAAGGCAAATGTAACAGCCATAAAAGGGAAAATCAACAGTAACACAATAATAGTAGGGGACTTTAACACCTTTCACCAATGGCCAGATCATCCAAAATGTAAATAAATAAGGAAACACAAGCTTCAAATGACACATTAAACAAGATGGACTTAAGTGATATTTATAGGGCATTCCAACCAAAACAACAGAATGCACTTTCTTCTAAAGTACACATGGAACATTCCCCAGGATAGATCATATATTGGGTCACAAATCAAGCCTTGGTAAATTTAAGAAAACTGAAATTGTATCAAGTATCTTTTCCGACCACAATGCTATGAGACTAGAGATCAATTACAGGAAAAAAACTGTAAAAAATACAAACACATGGAGACTAAACCATATGCTACTAAATAACCAAGAAATCACTGAAGAAGTCAGAGGTAATCAAAAAATACCTAGGGTTTCCCTGGTGGCACAGTGGTTGAGAGTCCGCCTGCCGATGCAGGGGACATGGATTCGTGCCCAAGTCTGGGAAGATCCCACATGCTGTGGAGCGGCTTGGCCCATGAGCCATGGTCACTGAGCCTGCTCGTCCGGAGCCTGTGCTCCGCAACGGGAGAGGCCACAACAGTAAGAGGCCAACATACAGCAAAAAAAAAAAAAAAACCTAGAGAAAAATGACAATGAAAACACAATGACAAAACCTATGGGATGCAGCAAAAGCAGTTCTAAGAGGGAAGTTTACAGCAATGAAATCCTACCTCACGAAACAAGAAAAATCTCAAATAAATCCCCTCACCTTACACCTAAAACAATTAGAGAAAGAAGAACAAAAAACCCCAAAGTTAACAGAAGGAAAGAAATCATAAAGATCAGATCAGAAATAAATGAAAAAGAAATGAAGGAAATAACAGCAAAGATCAATAAAAGTAAAAACTGGTTCTTTGAGAAGATAAACAAAATTGGTAAACCATTAGCCAGACACATCAACAAAAGAAGGGGCAAGGCTCAAATCAACAGAAATAGAAATGAAAAAGGAGGAGTAACAACTGATACTGCAGAAATACAAAGGATCATGAGAGACTACTACAAGCAACTATATGCCGATGAAATGGACAACCTGGAAGAAATGGACAAATTCTTAGAAAAGTACAACCTTCCAAGACTGAACCAGGAAGCAATAGAAAATATAAACAGACAAATCATAAGCACTGAAACTGAAATTGTGATTAAAAGTCTTCCAACAAACAAAAGCTCAGGACCAGAGGGCTTCACAGGTGAATTCTTTCAAACATTTAGAGAAGAACTACCACCCATCCTTCTCAAACTCTTCCAAAATATAGCAGAGGGACAAACACTCCCAAACTCATTCTACAAGGCCACCATCACCCTATACCAAAACCAGACAAAGAAGTCACAAAGAAAGAAATCTACAGGTCAATATCACTGATGAACATAGATGCAAAAATCCTCAACAAAATACTAACAAATAGGATCCAAGCACATTGAAAGGATCATACAACATGTTTAAGTGGGGTTTATCCCAGGTATGATATTCTTCAAAATATGCAAATCAAACAATGTGATACACCATATTAACAAATTGAAGGATAAAAACCATATGCTAATCAGAAAAGATGCAGAAAAATCTTTCAACAAAATTCACACCCATTTATGATAAAAACTCTCCAGAAACTGGCATAGAAGGAACCTACCTCAACATAATAAAGGCTATATATGACAAACCCACAGTCAAAATCTTTCTCAATGGTGAAAAACTGAAACCATTTCCTCTAAGATGAGGAACAAAACAAGGGTGCCCACTCTCATCACTATTATCTGACATAATTTTGGAAATTTTAGCTACTGCAATCAGAGAAGAAAAAGAAATCCATATCAGAAAAGAAGAAGTAGGGCTTCCCTGGTGGCACAGTGGTTAAGAATCCTCCTGCCAATGCACTGGACATGGGTTCAAGCCCTGGTCTGGGAAGATCCCACGTGCCGCAGATCAGGTAGACCCATGCGCCACAAATACTGAGCCTGTGCTCAAGAGCCCTTGATCCACAACTGCTGAGCCCACGTGCAACAACTACAGAAGCCCACGTGCCTAGAGCCTGTGCTCTGAAACAAGAGGGGCCACCACAGTGAGAAGCCTGTACACTGCAACGAAAGAGTAGCCCCTGCTCCCCGCAACTAGAGAAAGCCTGCAAACAGCAATGAAAACCCAATGCAGCCAAAAATAAACAAATTAATTAATTTAAAAAAACAAAGTGAAACTCACTTTTTAGCAAATGACATGATACTGTACATAGAGAATTCTAAAGATGCTACCAGAATACTAGTTGAGCTAATCAATGAATTTGGTAAAGCAGCAGGATACATATTAATGCACAAATTGCTTGCATTCCTATAACTAATAACAAAAAATCTTAAAGAGAAATTGAGGAAACACTCTCATTTACCATTGCAAGAAAAAGAATAAAATACCTAGGAATAAACCTACCTAAGGAGACAAAAGAACTCTATGCAGAAAAATGTAAGTCACTGATGAAAGAAATCAAAGACAATACAAACAGATGGAGAGATATACCATGTTCTTGGATTGGAAAAATCAACATTGTGAAAATGACTGCACTACCCAAAGCAATCTACAGACTCAAGGCAATCCCTATCAATCTACCAATGGCATTTTTCACAGAACCAGAACAAAAAGTTTTACAGTTTGTATGAAAACACAAAAGACCCCAAATAACCAAAGCAATCTTGAGAAAGAAAAATGGAGCTGGAGGAATCAGTCACCCTCACTTCAGACTATACTACAAAGCTACAGTGATCAAGACAGAGTCTGCAGTGTGTGTATCATTGGAAACTGAAAAAATTTTTGTTGGTTTTATTAACGTGATAGGTTTCTAGGGAAGGCCTACTAAATAACTATGTCTAGTTTCACAGTTACAAATAAATTACAATGTAACTTTGAATAAATTAAGCTCAACATAAAGGAAGGACACTGATAGTTGATACTACCCCTTCCTTGAGGGGCTATTGTAAAGCACTGAATAAAGTAACAGAGGTTTATATGCATGCATATATTTTGAATGATATTTGTACACACTTAAAAAGAACTCTACAGAATGCATTACAAAAACCTTGATGCTGTGTGTCCCTAGTTCCCAGCTCTCTCATTAAAACTATTTAAAGGAACAAAATGTTATCTATTAGGATAGCTATCAGAGTACTCCAAATACTACTGCTTGCAGTACCCTGTCCCAACCATTTGCCTTCCTCTTCCCATTAGTCCTTAATTCAGAAACCCCAGAGATTTGTTCATTAATTTATGAACATATTTCTTCATTCAGCCAAGAAAACTGATTGATCCCTTACGAAATTTCAGGCACCCTTCTTCAGTATGTTTTATAGGTATGTTCAGGAAACATAGCAGTGATTAACACAGATGAATATAGCCTCTCTCGAGCTGAGGGGA